GAAAGATATAATACTGTTCGAAATATCGGCGTTAACGTAGCTGAGCTGGACCACGTGGAGGCGCACCTACATCTTCTCTATGAGACTATGCCGCGCGCGACTCGTCGTCTGCGCTCTCCCAAGACGAACACGACTCTCGGCGAAAGCACGCGCGCGTCGCGCCATCAAGTGAAAACAAAAACCACCGCTGTACCAGTGCAGTTTTAAAGAGCTCTGGAGCTATGGTCTCAGCACCCTTGCCATCCACTTTCGGATCAAGAAGTTTGTCCAACTCCTACAAATATGGACCAGGCTATATTATAGATGGAAGGAGATTTCATCTGCAAGGTAGCCGGGCACTTTCCACTCTGAATTCGCTCAGCTCAACCAGAAGGGTCAGAGCTAGTGCTCCAAGTGTTTCTGCAACTAATTCATTGCACATAAATACATCTATTAGCAAAGTAGTCAAACCTACGTGGTATTTTACTATGTTCCTTAGCTCATCGATTTTTTCACGATCCGTTTCAGATATCGTCATGCTCCGCAGAAGTTTATACCTTGAAAAATTACATTTTAAACAGGTATAACCGGAAGATACACGAAGAGATGCTACTGGAGTGACGGAAGGGTTACATGAGAATCAGAACTTTTGGTGAGGATCCGGGCTAGAAAGGCCAGGGCGTGGAGAAACAGAGCACTGCGGCTACCTAGGCATCAAAAGGTGCAAAAACATGTCGCAGATCAGAGGATGAGTTTTTTAGGGGGAGGAGTCCCGGGGGTTGATGGTTCTCTTACCATGAGCGAAACTTGTAATGTGTAAGGTCACAGTAGTAACAGAATGTCATGAAGATAAGGGAGCGCGGAGAAAAACAGAAAGTTGATTCGATCAAAAGCTTGTAGTCCGAGTTATCCGTAGTCTTCAGGGGAACAGTGACGCGACTGCTCGTCTGTGCCCTCCCACCGAGATGGTGTTTCCTTTTCTTAACAAATTCAGCGTTAGAAAGCGCCCAATGAGCAATGTGAGCGCAGCCCGAGAGTAGTTTATAACATCAAAGGCGCATCATAGGATGCAAACTAGCGGAGTATTTCAAAGATAGACGGCTCGTCGCGTTGAATGAGTTGGGTCCTGGTTCAAAAGCTGCGCTTGTAACGCCCGTTTTGCAGCGTTCAGTGCAGCTTGGATGTGCTGAGCTACGCCACAGTACTGAAACAGTGGGTTTACCGAGGGGTCCGGGAACACCTGATACCCTCAAGCTTCCAGTGCGTGAAAATTTTCGAAGCAGTCGCTGAAAAAGTGATGCGATTCTTGAAAAGAGAGTCTTCAGAGATTCAACGTCCCTTTGCTTTCGCGAACTTACGAAGCAAGTTATGGTCGATAAAAATATAAATGTCAATGTTAATCTGGGCAACAAACCACGAAGAGGATATTTCTTATCTCAGAATGGAGAACAAATGAAACTGTGGAGCATACTTTAGCAAGAGTGAATATAGTA